TGATAGGACTTCACCATTATTACTGTACGGGGCTTCACAGTTTAACATTGCAAACATCCAAATATTCAAAATATTTTTCAATCCCAAGTTATATAGTATTCTTAACATTTTGTATGTAGTATGACAAAACCTTAAACGATTATACATTATCACCAATGGTATATCTCTCCAGTTTCTTTTTTCTAAAGATTTAATGTAATTCATTTGTATATTAGTTACTGACATTACAGTCAAAGCCATAATTTTAATTCCACATTCTAAATCTTTCACTCTAGCTTGAATTGCTTGTTTTAGTAAATCTTTTCGATTTAATTTATCTAATTTTTTCGGAGATGCTGCAATTCTTTTAAGGTGGTCTGCATTTGGAATTCCAAAATCAATTTGCATTAGATCATCATACACTATTTCCAAATTATTTTCGTCAAGCAAGTATTCTATGATAAGACTTTGAACAACATGGAAAGGTATTAAAAGCGGTAAAAAGCGAAATATAATCATAACGAAATGTTATCTTTACGTTATTATTAAATGTAATTTTATATACTGTTTCTTTAAATACTTAAAAACGTTATTCATATAATTTATTGAATTTTAGTATTTTACTAACAAGTATATTTATAACTATTATCGAATAAAAAACAAAATTTAAAATTACTTTAAATATTACTGCACAAAAGTCTTGTGCCTATTTTAATAAATAACATTAATAATTAATATTATTTGGCAGTAATGTTTCTATATCTAAACTTTGTGTTGTTTGCTTTAATTTATTTTTAATTTAGCTCAGTTATGTTAGGTGTTACACTAAATTTAAAGAATGCTTCCCCATAACAAAATTATTTTAAATATAGCGTTTGTTTTAGCTTTGATGGGAAGAATGATGATTCATTTTACTAATTGTGCATTTTTTTTCTGTTACCACTTATTCCCAATTCTTACATGACCGATTTTAACAATACGTCAAGAGATCACAAATCGTATCTAGTTGATGACATTATTCTTAAAAATTTTAAAAAATTATAAGATTTAATATCGGTAATTTTCAACCTTTTTAATACGCTTGTATTAGTTTCACATGTATGTTTGTTGTTTGTTATTTGTCGTTTGTTGTTTGTAAGTTTGTTACTCCACGCGGCACGTGTTATTATGTCGCGTATCCCGTCGTGTATGACCTTGAGACTATACTGTCGTAACGCATTCGTCCATGAGTGGTGAGCGGGGGGGGGCCGCTCACCTCTCGTAGACAACAATATTTTCCAACCCGTAGTCGCGCGCGTGTCATCAATTATGTATATATATATATATATATATACATATATTATTTTTGGTTTTCGTACCCGTATACGAGTGCGTGTCATCAGTTATAGATATATATATATATATAACAAATTTTTATTGTGATTGACACGGCTTCGCGTTGTTTCATTATACACAATGTCCCACGACTCGTGCCACCTTTATCAGCCGTCGCCCTATTTTATGAGTATTTGACTGACCAACACCGCGCTTTATACTCCGCGGTGCAAAGTCCAGCAAGTGCCGCACGATGTCCCGCCGCAAATGATACCGTAGTCTTCTTCTCGTTGTCAAATTGATGACGTCAACAAACCAATCCGCACTCGCGCACCGTCGTCATCTACGCTGCTAACCTTTTGACGCCCGAGGATCACGCCTTACATCGTGTCGTCGACGCCAGCGTAAGTGCCGCGATATTATGCGATGATCTTATATTCCTACCGCCACCGCTAATATTAATATATATATTCATATATTAATATTCATTTATATATTCCTACAGCCGACGCCGCTGCCGCCGTATATGCCTCGTGTATAATGTTCCCCCCGCCACTCCCGCCACAAAATACGGCTATACCTCATGCGTGATACGTTTACGTACTTAGGTCGCTTTACATGTATATATATATATATATTCAAATTAATATTAAAATTTATATATTAATACGCTTTATACTCATTAAGAGATATGTAGTATATTCATTCCGATTACAGGGGATGATTCCCGTATGTCATTTTTCGTCACTACCACCACTTTGCGCGCCTGCTGCTTTCCTTGGATGTGGTAGCCGTTTCTTAGACTCTCTCTCCGGAATCGAACCCTGATTTCCCGTTACCCCTTATAACCATGATATTGATATTAACTATTATCATAACATGAAACTAAAAAGTGAAAAATAAATATAGTTTAAAAAAACATGCTTTTAAAGCACATTGAACTAAAAATTATTTTTAACTTTTTAGTTCGATGTGCTTTAAAAGCGTGTTTTTTAGTTTTTTTAAACTATATTTATTTTTTATTTTACTAAAATCTGACGTAAATTTTTGAAAAATGTATAAAGTGAAAAACCTTTTTTTTTATAGATTTAATAGATTTTTCTTATTATTTGGTCATTTTTTTATTTATGGGACTTTTTACTTGCACACAAGAAGGAATTCTAAATGGCAACTTTTGCACAAAAAATTAACTTTTTCAACTAAACGTTTCAAAATTTTCCAAAAATACTGATCGTTTTATATATATCTTAGTTTTTTAGTTTTAGTTATTAGTTAGGTGGACATAATGCCCATGCACTCAGACCTATTGGTCTATTGTGAACACCTCATACTGAATTGTCTTGATTTGGTTTAACACCTAAGTATTTTAAGCGAAGTGATATTACAGTATACCTATCATTTTATAAGGGTAGACCATCAAGTCACCCGTTGTAGATGACCAAAGATTCCTGTCTTTCTGGCGAAATTAAATATTTCTCTGGGACTTTTAATATTTTTTTTTTCAGAAAAAGGTTTACTCAAGTAGTTTGATATTAGTGTGGAAAAGGCTTCACATTTGCACATTATGTGAAAATAGTCTTCCTCTTCTACTCCACACTTCCTGCACAATAGTGATTCCGATACCCCCGTTGCGTAAATATGTTTAAACAAATGTCCTATCAGTAGACCAGTAAAAGTGCTTATTTGATGTTTAGTCATGCTATTAAGATCACCCAGCAGAGGACCGGATATTTTGAAAAACGTTTTAGATTGTCTAGGTACTAACAAGTACTTCCAAATTTTCCTGTGTTGTTCTTTGCGCCAATTCTTGGGTAGCGCTTTGAGCGATTGCTCAATGAGTTCTACCACTAGTTCTGGTCCAACATGGGTGTTTTATGTTCCTTGCTTAGCTAGAAATTCAGTTTTTTCATATCCAGTGACACCGTTGTGTCCTGTCACCCACGCCAGTGTAACTTTATTAATAATAATATAATTAATTTAATAATGTAGTGTTTCTGTAGCCACGTGACACTGACGTTGCAACATATACGATCGATGCGCTCTATTACTAATAATACAATCGAAATATAATATAACTTTCGATGCATAATCAAACTATCGATAATGTCGGAGTTTTACTGTCTCATTTTTAACACGCTTATATTAGTTTCACATGTATGTTTGTTGTTTGTAAGTTTGTAACTCCACGCGGCACGTGTTATTATGTCGCGTATCCCGTCGTGTATGACCTTGAGACTAGACTGTCGTAACGCATTCGCCCCACCCCGCTCACCACTCGTAGACAACAATATTTTCCAACCCGTAGACGCGCGCGTGTCATTAATTATATATATATATAATAAATTTTTATTGTAATTGACACGGCCCCGCGTCGTTTTGTTATACACGATGCCTCACGAGTCGTGCCACCTTTATCAGCCGTCGCTTTATTTTATGAGTATTTGACTGACCAACACCGCGGTGCAAAATCCAGCAAGTGCCGCACAGCCGACGACGTCCCGCCGCTAATGATACCGTAGTCTTCTTCCCATTGTCAAAGTGATGACGTCAACAAACCAATCCGCACTCGCGCACCGTCGTCATCTACGCTGCTAACCTTTTGACGCCCGAGGATCACGCCTTACATCGTGTCGTCGACGCCAGCGAAAGTGCCGAGATATTATGCGTAGATTGTATATTCTTACCATCGCCGCTAATATTAATATATATATGCATATATATATATATATATATTAATATTTATATGTTCGTATATGTTAATATTCATTTATATATCCCTACAGCAGCCGCCGTATATACCTCGTGTATAACGTTCCCCCCGCCACGCCCGTCCACAAAACACTGCTATACCTCGTACATGATACGTTTACGTACTTAAGTCGCTTTACATGTATATATATATATATATATATATATTCAAATTACTATTAAAATTTATATATTAATACGCTTTATTCTCATTAAGAGATATATAGTGTATTTATTCCGATTACGGGGAATGATTGCCGTATTGTCATTTTTCGTCACTACCTCCACGTTGCGCGCTTGCTGCTTTCCTTGGAATGGGTAGCCGTTTCTCAGACTCCCACTCCGGAATCGAACCCTGATTCCCCTTTACCCGTTACAACCATGATATTGATAGTAACTACTATCATAACATGTAACTAAAAAGTAAAAAATAAATATAGTTTAAAAAAACTAAAAAACACGCTTTTAAAGTACATCGAACTAAAAAGTTAAAAATAATTTTTATAATAAGCTTAAAACAATAATGTACGAAAAGTACTAGTATTATTGTGATAAAAGCGTGGGTGCTTTGTGCTATATTTTTCGTATATTGAGCGACCGACACTTTTATCACAATTATACTAGTACTGTTTGTTCATTATTGTTTTAAGCTTATTTTAACAATTATTTTTAGCTTTTTAGTGCTTAAAAGCGTGTCTTTTAGTTTTTTTAAACTATATTTTTTATTATATATTCATCTAAGTTATTATATAATTACCCTTTAAAAGAAGTAGATCTACATTTACAAGCAGCATAACATGGAATTGTTATTGAATCGGCATCAGATAATTCTTGATTCAAATCATACGCTTTGCCGTAAAAATAACATTTGTCGGCAGACCTTGTCTCANGACTTTGTCAAATGTCGAAGTATGTAAAAGTCGGAGCATTATCAGTTCGTGACAAAAGTGCTTTCCCCCTGTAAAATAGCACTACCATGTTCAAACTTAACCAGTGTTCAGATTTATTGTGGCATCTTATAATATAGTTCTTTTTTATTAAAATGGTTAAGGAATAAAATATATTTGCAAAAGGACCTTGTTATATCTACTTCCATATTGTTTTTTATTCAGTATACTATATTCTTAAAGGTAATAAAAGTAGTATAATTTAATAAATTATATTATTTTTATAATAAATGTTTCTAAACCGTTACTATTTTTGTACTTCTTACTAGGTATATATATATATGCGTATATAATTTATATCTAAGGTTCTCTTTAGTAAACTTTTCTTTGCTGTGGTCGATTTAAGAAAAATCTCATAGTGTAGCGCAACAGAATCGAACCCTAATTTTACTCTAAGGCATAATGATTTTCCAAATGTGTTATATATGTTGCTTGTATTTTCTTAAGTCTAACAGAATTACAATTATTTTTTCTTTAAATTGCTATAAAAATTTAATAAACATTAAAACAAAACCATATTTTAACTGGAAAATATTTGAAGTTAAAAATTATAACGCATTAAACTTATTACTATTTTTGACGCGATAATTATTTTTTATTTTAATTAATAACCTGGATAAAATATATGTATTCTACAAAAAAATTATTAATTAATAACCTTTATGTATGTATTTAAAAAATTATAATTTTTATTATATTCTATATAATTATCTAATAAAAAAAATGATCATAATTGGTACTATTGAATTTAATATATATATAAACTATTGTTTTATTTTAATACTTTATTTAGTTTTTAACTAGAAATGACTAAAAAAGACTTAGTATTTTTAGAAACGAAAAATATGGCTGATAATATGAACAATAGAAATGATAATGATAATATTAATACCCAAATGTTAATGTTAAACATGAACATGAACAGAATAAATCTGGAAAATTGGCGAACCGTTAAAAAAATCCATAGTAAGTCTTGAAATTTTGAGTACATATCAATCGTATTAGTATACATAAGAAATGTGTGAAAATCATAAGGACTATAGTATAATGGAATAATGGAGTAAAAAGAATAATGGATGTATGAAAAACAAAGAATAGTAAAAAAAGTTTTTATCCTAGTGCAACAAAATTATCAATTGTTTTAACGTTTTGTCTTGCCTTAAAAATTACGATAATGAAATTTAAATTTATGTAGAAAATATTTTTACATAAAAGAGGAGAAATTTATCTATATTCCCTTAACATTTTGTTAAATTTATACTGTGTAAATTTAAAAATATTAAACATTTAAACTAATCATAGTTAACCTTATTTTGTTAGTTCAACACAAGTTATAGTTTTTTTTAACCTTTTACAATTTTGATTAGTCTAGAATAGAAAAATAATGTGTAGTTTTTCAATTGAACATAATTACTAGCAATTAAAAAACCAAAAGGTAAAGATATTGATTAATAACAATTATTTGTATTGTTTAGTTAAAAAAGCTAGTATTGAAATAATAGAAAGGTCTATTATAAAAGCAAACTTGAAAAATGTTGAACTTGAAAGACAGATAAAAAATGTTAAATCTGAAATAATTGTATTAAGGAATAATATTTTAAAGTAAGTATTATGATTCTATTTTGAAGAATTTAAATATATTTAATAGCTTATTTGATAAATATTGAATTTTTTTAACATAAAAAATTTGAGTTTTCAAAAAAGATATTCTTTTTTTGAATTTATCATATAGTAAAGTTAGAGCATGTTCTCCAATTTTCTTTTCCTTTATCTGTTTTTGTCAATTAATAATTAAAACAGTATGAATTTTTGTTAAATTTATTTTGTTTTAAAATGGAATTATAAATAGTAAAAATAAATAATATTTGATTTAGTCTGGATAATATTACAATGAGTCTATATAAAACCTTGGCTGATCTACAATTAGATTTTTCACATAAAAAAATTGTTTTAAACAACAAAAGAGACAAATATGATGTAAAATTATTTCAGAAAATTAAACACTGGGAAAAATTACAGGTGATACTACTAAATAATATTAAGTATAATTTTCACCTAAACTTTAGCTATGAATGTGAGATGATAATTTCCTTTGCAATCATTAACATTTAAATTTGCAACCAAACCTCTTTAAATGAAATTTTTATAAGTCGTTACTCTTAACTTTTTAGGAGAGATTAAATTTTCTACCAGCCATAAAAACATTATATAATAATGAAAAAGAGTTTGACTGTTTGAAAATTTGTTATGAACATCTTCTAAAAGAAAATAAAGAGTTGACTGAAGAAATATCATTAAAGAAAAAAATGAATTGTATGTTATAATAAAGACTAAAATATATATTATTTTATAATAATAAATTTTAATTGAATTAAAATTAAATTTTAGATAAAAAACAAAATGTTATTATTTTAAATTTTGCTACTGAATTTAATGAAATGAAAACTTATAATATAAAAGAAAAAACACTTACTAATTTATTAAGGTTTGTTTAAATGTATTCACCTAGAAGATATAATGTTATGATACAAATGAGTTATCAATAGGGTCATATTTGTCTTAAAGTTAAATTTTGTTTTATTTAAATGAAATATTTCAGGAATCTGCGTGAAGAGCACGAAGACTTATTAATAAAAAAAAGAATACTGTTTGAAGATCAAAAGGATGTTAGTGAGAAAAAGTAAATTTTTTAAATAATTAATTAATATTTTATTTTGTATTTTTTAGAAATTATGTAAATTACCAATGTGGACTTTCCAAATAAATAAATCTGATTTAAAATTATTCAATGAGAAAGTAAATTTTTTAGAAATACTGCTAAATGAATATAAATCAAATGAAGAAAATGTGAATGTTGATGTATACAAAACAATTAAAAAATGTGATTCAAATCAAAATATTCATAAATTATTTAAAGAGGACAGTCTTACGCATTTTAAAACCAACTCGATCAGTGATGTTAAAATACCTATTGAGGATAATCACACATTATCTTTAGAAAATGTGTTGCTGCCCAATAGTCATAAAAACATAGATAAAAGTAATGAAAATTCTAAAGATAAATAATTATTTTGGATCTAAACAAAGCTACTTTTAATGTAGAAAGTATCAAAACACAAGAAAAGAATCATGAGATAGTTAACAATTCAAATTTTGAATTAATTGCAAATTATGATATATCTAAAAAAATAATTAACAGTGAGAACTCAATTAATGTTAGCATTAGAAAAACATCACATAATACAATTATTGATAACAAGGTAAGTATTTTGAATAAATAGGGTTATTATATTTAATAATTACATAACTTGAATAAGAGGTGTGATATTTAAATGTTGTGAAGATGTTGATCATTAATAACATATTATATCACTTCAAATATAAAGATTATAAGTCATTTGGTTATTTTTTCTCTATAATCAATGTGATATAACCACCTTAAAAAATATTTTCATTAAAACGCCCATTTTTAAAAACTTCATAAGAGAATTATAAAACAAATTTTATTATATATAAACAATAAAAAAATTGAGCTTTTTTTTTGTTATTATTTTATTTTTTGTTTTTGTATATATAAATTCAAAAGTTTCTGTTATTGAAAGTTCTGTATAAAAGTTAATTTTCTGTGAATTCATAGATTTTATTAATAGCTCTAGATAACCCGAGTAGCATTTGTGGTTTCACATGCGTTAATTTATAAATAATTTAATGATGCTGATGAACTCGGTCAAAAACACAACCACAAAAAAAAACAATTTTCGAGTTCGAGAATCTGACCATATTTACTATATGTTTTTGAGGTCGCTGAATTCGAATCTGAGGTCGAAATCGCCCTATCGGTCAGAGTTTTTTATAACCTCAAAAAACCCCTTCATCGAGTTATATAACGATAAACCCTTCACATTAAACCCCTTAACCTTTTGAAATCATAACACAATCACCCCATAATACCTTGTTACCATAATCATATAACCCCATAACACCATAATTCCATTGCCCCCAAGTCAAACAAAACAGTTCATCTGTTCATCAATTTGTATCAATGCAAATGTTTACGGATGTTCGATCAGTGAAATGAAACGTAATAATCCCATAACATTTACATTTTTGTATTGTAGTAATTTCATAAAAGGTCTTAAGAGATAGGGCTAAATGATGTACAAAATCCGATCGCGCAACCTTTCCGTGGTTTACATCGAATAACGCTAATGTCGACAGTTCTACCATTGTTTAATGGTTTTATAAGTTTATAACATTCGATTTTGCTGTTCAAAACTATTCTGAATATTTGTGACGAGATGTATTTATACAGGATTCCACAGTTAACTTGTGCGTGGGTGATTCAAACTTGCTCAATAGGTTTCGTTAGATATGGGGTTTTAAGATAATGAGGTTATGGTATAATGTGGTTATAGGATTTTTGGATTAAGGGATTATTAAGTTTCATTTCACAAATCGAACGTATTATGAATGTCCCTAAAAATTTGCATTGATACAAATTGCCTTAGATGAACTGTTTTGTTTGACTTGGGGGCAATGGAATTATGGTGTTATGGGGTTATATGATTATGGTAACAAGGTATTATGGGGTGATTGTGTTATGATTTCAAAAGGTTAAGGGGTTTAATGTGAAGGGTTTATCGTTATATAACTCGATGAAGGGGTTTTTTGAGGTTATAAAAAACTCTGACCGATAGGGCGATTTCGACCTCAGATTCGAATTCAGCGACCTCAAAAACATATAGTAAATATGGTCAGATTCTCGAACTCGAAAATTGTTTTTTTTTGTGGTTGTGTTTTTGACCGAGTTCATCAGCATCATTAAATTATTTATAAATTANAATTGGTTCTGGGTACCGAAATTTAGCATCTTTGAATACATAAGTTAACACGGGTTGAACCGAGTGCAATTATAGTTTATTATAAGTGTGGACAGTATGTCAGTTTAATTAATAATCCTGAAATTATAAGTCACCCTGGGTGTTTTGGTTTAATCAAAGACGGTTGTGGGTTTGTTCAACAGTTTTAAGAAAAATTTCAATGTAGTAATCCCAGATATATAGATTCAATATCATGCGTTAAATATGTAAAACTCATAGTCTTTTTCCACAAAATATAGTGACAACTTAGAAGGTAACATAATAACAATACAAATTTAATAATATACTTAGAGATCACTTACAAAAAGAATGCTTAAATTATCTAATATTTTTAAAGAGAAATTTTGATTATTATAATAGATTGTTCTATTCTATATTATATTTGAAAAATTTTCAAGAAGGGTTGAATATTTTGATATTATATAACTTTTGATACAATTATTTAAAAAAAAGTATAATATACTTTTATATTATAAATTATTTTTAATTTTAAACATAATATTTATTCGAGACAATGTATTATTAATCTATTTTAATTTCCTAGGAAACTTGCGCCGAAAAAGATAATTTTGAAATAAATCGGGATGCTCTTGACAATCCTAAAAAATCTTGTTTGCAAGATTGTAGTAAACCTGAAAGCAATTTTTCGTTATTGAAATCCCCCGAACGCTTTGAAAAAACACCAGAACCTCAATTTGAAATTTGTTTCAATAATTCTTATCAAGTTGATAACTTGAATGATGCTTTTCAATTCAATTGCCAATTTTCTCAAAATCAAGTTAAAAAAATCACAGGTTAAATAATATTTGCTTAAGTATTAAAAAACCTATTGACTCTTTTATATTTTAAGATAAAATTTTGTAATAAATACGACTTAAAATTATATTATCAGGTTAATAAAAATAGACCTGTTAGAATATTATTGAAATATGAATGTAATGAAAATGTAAAATTAGATAGATGTCCCCTGGACTTAAATAAATAATTTTTAAGTCTAAGTTATCTTAATATAATTTTAAGAAAAGCGAATTGGGTTCCTATCAGATACTAATGTTATCAATATTAACAAATGTTTTAGATGAATTTTGGAAAGATTTAGAAGACGGCGATGCTGAACCATACAATTATAGTGAAATTAGTAGTTTTTGTGTGAGTAAAGATTGTAATTCCTCTTTATTTTAACCAGATTTCTTATAATTAATAAACTAAAATAATTTAAAGTATATTGTCGTATTAACAAGTAATATTTTTACTTACAGAGTTCAGAGTAATCACGTAATTCATTAATTTAATATGTTTGATTCAAGATATAAACACAATGGTAAATAAGATAAATTTTACTTAAAAACATTACCCTTAAAAATTGAAAAAAATGTCATAATTTCCTATAAATGATGAAACGCAAAATTTAAAAATTTGAAAAAACAGTAAATTATGACATTTTTAAAACTTTTTTTTATTTATAATTGCTATCTTTTTTTAAAAATTCAATAAATCAAAACAAATTTTTTTTTTTGATAACTTTAGATGTGTTTCTATCATAAGACATATTTTTTTCAAAATTGTACCTATAACAAAAGGGATTTTAAAACAGAAACTTTGCATAATAAGTTAACTATTAAACTTAACATTTGAAAATATTTCAGAAAATCTGACATCTTTAAATATGTCTTAAATTATTTGTCAAATAATATACATTATTTTGAAATAATAATTGATCCTTGAACTTTACTTCTTTGGTAATTTTTCATAATTGTAAAAAAAAAAAGAAGTTATACTCTAATGTTAGGCTTTAATTATTTATGAAAAATGATATTAAAACTCAATTTTAAAGATCCAAAAAAATTGGTTAATGTTGATGGAACACATTATATTAATTCAGTAAAACTCTTATTAATCATCATAAAATCCTTTAGAAAAATGAAAAATAAAATTGTATTATTGTTATAATGATTTGCTATGTAAATTTCTTAGTTATTAATTAGTAATTGTCTCAAAAACTAAATGTATTAAAAAAAATCTTAAGCCAAATTCAAAATTAGGGTCAAAATTCCTAAAATTACTCAATTCATATAAAATTCCAAACAAGAAAATGACTGTTACCCTATGTAATCAATTACAATATCAACAACAATAAATAGAACAAATTCAAAATAGTTTTCTTACACATATTGTCTTTATTCTTAAAATTTTTCACCCTTTACATGACTGTTTTTTTAATTTGCTGTGTCCTAGATATCTATACATTTTTTGGGACGTATATATTTTTTCTTAAGATTTAAGCAGTACAGTTTTCTCATTATTTAAATAAACTATATATTTCACATGATTATACTAATTTATACATTTTTCAGGTTATTTTATGATGTAAATTAATCAATCCACTTGAAAACTTAATTTTTATTAATGAAATTTAAAATGATATATCTTATGTCATTTAATATCGATAATATTCAAAATTTTGTTTTATAAGTTGTGTATTTTAAGTAATGGAAATAATTTGAAGTATTTTTTATTTTCTATAATTAAATAAATTTAAAACTTTAAAATTTCTTAATTTTTAAATGTTTTTATTGATATTAAATAATTTTTTATACCAGAATCGTTCCGAAATGGTCCGTGTAGGGTTAGGGTGGTCCTTATCTACATAGATCATTTCTTTTAAATTAAATTCAATCAGGATACCCCCTAGAATTGTTCTATAGGTTAAAAAAATACATTTTGTGAAGTTTCGTGATTGTCCAATGATTTTTTCTCGTGCCGTAGAAGGGTTGAAATTTAATAAATACGGGTAAAAATTAGTTTTTTACGTATAAATTGTTAAATTTTACTTGAATCAAAAAAATTTACTGAATAAAATTTGTTTAAAAATGTATTTCCTACAAAATATTGTTATATTATTTTTTACTTTATATTACATATTTAATTGAATAATCAATATAAAAACACATAAATATGCCTATTTTTACGGATTCTAATTTTTTGCATAATTGAGTCTTTATTCGCGTAATCGAGAAATTTTTACAAAATCTATATAAATTATAAAATTTAGATTTGAAAATTATGTACAAATATTGTTTAGTAAAATATTTTCTAAATTTAAATCTTAGTCTTATAACATGCAACTGATTAAAACATATCATATAAAACAAATAAATAATAAAAATAAACTTTAATTATAAAAAACACAACTAAAAAAATATTATGGAAAATTATTATCAATTATTATTAAATAATCATCAATATTTCATTAATGTGTTTTTTTTGCATCAGGAAAATATTTTTTATGATCTGCGACAACTTGTAGCAAGTATTGCTTTTGGTCTTCTTTTTTAGTAATTATCGAGTTGTACTCTTCAATTAACTTCACTGATCTTTCTGTAGTATCGTTTACAACTTTTTAACTTCGCACTATTTCTTGACAGTCTAGATAATCTATATTTAAATTCTATCATTCGGGATCTTCGCTTAAAAAACTAGTTTTCATATCAAAACGTTTAAAAAAATGTTTTGAGTTTACATTAATGAACTTGTCAATAGTTTTACTTACAAAATGTTTTGTATTTCTTGCCGGATTAATTTTTTTTAAGTCTTCACATTCAATAGTTTGTAATGATTTTACCATAAGTCTTTTTACTTCAACAGGTATTTGATCATCAAAAAATGCCATTGAGGCATTTTCAGGCGCGAGATACTATAAGTGGTTACTAAATATCTTAAGTGCTATTAAACCTATGGCATCGTCAATTTTTATGTATTCATAAAGATTTTTCATGCATTCTAAGTCCATGCGAGGAGTTTCAATAGCATTATTTGCAGAAAACCAGTATTTTAAATAAATTTTTACTAAAAATATACAAACATTACGAACACCAACCCTTTCGTCATTTGTTAGCTCGAAAGACTCAGAAAGAAAAATTTTCAAACAATAAATGGCTTTTGCCATCCATCTGGCGTGATGATAAGCTCCAGGAGATCTAATAGAAATATATGTATAATGATCAGCGCCAAGTAAAATAATTGCCAACTTAAGAAGTTCTCTATAGTCTTCTCTTGGCTGATTAATTTTTATTTTTTCCATTAGAAACGAAATTAATTCATTTTCTAAGCCGTTTAATTGTGTTTTAACCGTAATATCTTCTAAACCTGGATTTATTGTACAGTCTTTAATCTGTGGCTAACTTTTTTGAAATTTTTTAAACAATGATATATTTGGTTCACTATATAAAGTAATATTTTGATCAAATACACTTCTTAAAACTATTTCAAATATGTGGTACCTACATGGTAAGTATAAACGGTCCCTTTCGAAATATTGCTCTAAAATAATACAAGCACTTTGTAATTTACCCATATTAGAGGCTGTTGCGTCGCAACTAATAGTCTGAACTTTATTTTCAATATCCCATTCTACTAATAAACTATGAATTGCTGAAGCTTGTTCTCTTCCTGTACTTGATTTAATAAAAGGAACGCCAAGAAGTTGCTCATTACCATTGAAACTTATAAGTACAGGTGGTAGCCTCCTATCAATATTTCCTTAAATATGCAATATAAAGTAAAAAATAATATAACAATATTTTGTAGGAAATACATTTTTAAACAAATTTTATTCAGTAAATTTTTTTGATTCAAGTAAAATTTAACAATTTATACGTAAAAAACTAATTTTTACCCCTATTTATTAAATTTCAACTCTTCTACGGCACGAGAAAAAATCATTGGACAATCACGAAACTTCACAAAATGTATTTTTTTAACGTATAGAACAATTCTAGGGGGCGTCCGGTCAAAAAAAAAAACTTTGAAAAATAAGAACCACCCTACATTGTAAGGTATTATTACATATTTTATTTTATTGTTTTAGTTTACAATTTTTCAATAAATAACATAGTTACCAAAAAAACTTAATGAAAATATTTTGAAAAATTATGTTATTAAAAACTATAGTTTATAGTATAAAGTGTGTTTAAAAAGTAAAGGTACGGTTTGCCAGGCGCGACCGGCGATCATGAACTGTCGTCGCGACTGTTGTAGTCTACAAGTAACGACCGCGACGTGTCGTGATGATAAAATTATTATTTTCGGCCTGTTTTCACAAACAGTAATATTGTCATTTCAGTTTAATATATTTTCAAGTACGCATTACGCGAGTACTCTAAATAAATTCTTATACAATGGATAAATTTATTTTTAATAATAATAATATTTTAAGTCTCCTCTTAATGGATGAGGATGACGATGAGGCTAGATTATTATCTTATTTAACGTCAAAGAAAAGAAAAACATCGGACAATATCTTTACAAATGGTGGATGTGAATTATAAATTTGTTGCTGTGGACATTGGTTCTTTTGGTAAAGATGGCGATAGTGGCATTTTTTTGAAGTCAAATACTGGACAGGAAATTTTAAGTGGAACATTTGGATTTCCAGAAGAGTGTCAACTTCCTGGATCAGATAAAGTAACGCCCCATGTAATTGTTGGTGATGAAGCTTTTCGCTTACATAAACACAATGAAACCGTACACGAGGTAATCCTTCTGATTCTGTGTTCAATTACAGATTAAGTCGTGCTTAGAAGAGTAACTGAAAATGCTTTTGGACTATTAAGCCAAATTTTCAGGATTTTTTATCAACCAATCAATTTGGAAACAACCACAATCGACGATTTAATATGGGTCACCTGCTGTCTACACAATATGTTACGTGATGGATATTTAGAGAAAAATAAACGACCATTTTTCGAATATGATACTAAACAATTACCACCAACTAACATGANTATACTAAACAATTATCACCAACTAACATGATGATGCCACTTTCCCGACGAGGAGGGTTTTCAAATATTGAAGGATTTGAAGTTTGAAATTTGTTCAAAGAATTTTTTAATGAAGGGGCTCTTTCTTGGCAACCAAAATCATAACCAATAATTAAAGTTATAAAATAATAATAACAATTAAATAAAAAATCACATAAATGTTTATTATTAAATTACCAAACATAATAATAAATCCAACTTTTAATAAAAATTATAAAATACTCAACAAATAAACGTTAATGAAAAAAATATATAGGTACATCATGTAAAATAAACGTAGATTTTATTTTTACAAAAAAATAATAAAAATTAAAAATTTTAATACTCAGTAAGTAAATAAGCGAATATAAAAATTGAAAATCAAAATAAAACATATTACTGATTGTAAAATGTTATGCAGTAGTGGGGTCGTCATAGTTGTACATGGAAAACTGTGAGTCTGAGGATCTTGCATACATACTTGTTGATGGGGAAGGCTGAAAGGAATCCAATGTTTGAA